CCAAATTATTCCTTTCAATACATGTATTTTGATTTTTATATTTTTAGGTAAAAATGGATATTATGAAAATGATTTTAAATGTTAGTAGATTAAAGATGAAGAATTTGAAAATTTAAATTGCCATTCTCATGGATTGAATGAACAAGCTTGCATATCAATCCATAAAAGTGATCAATATTGTAATTACATTTTTTTAATTTTAGGTATATTTGAAAATTTTCAATGTCGATCAATTAACTTACTAGAAATCCAATCTTGTGATTAGAAATTAAATCGTAATGCTTGTCTATCAATTTAGAATCCCTCATTAAATTGCTTATGGGTTCATTAATCTTGTATAAAATATTCTTTAAAATATAATTCTATTTGCGCATAATTAAAGGATGTAAATTCCTCTGTGTGTAGAATATAAAATGGATTATGTATGCACGATGAAACACATAAAAAATGTGTAGCGATTGAAGAAAAAGATATAATAAATATGCCTTGCAATACAAAAGGTTTATCAAAAGATGGATGTTTATCAATAAAATAATAAAATTGTGTTTTTGAAGACGTATGTAAGGAATTAAGTGAATAAGAATTAAAAGTTTATTTTTGTGAAGCTTAATTAAATGAATCTGCATGTATAAATATAAAAACAGAATTTTAATATTGTATATGGAATGGGAAAAAGTGTGAAAGATTGTTTATAAATTAAGATTAAGATTGTCCAATAGAATTTGAAGATAAAGAAATAAAAGTAAATGGAAATGTATGTTAAGCAATATCAAAATCAAAAGTTTCATGTAAATATAATGAAAAAACACATTTATGTATGTTAGCATAATCAAATGATATTTGTGAAACTCCTTTTATAAATAAAACTGGATGTTTAAGTATTAATTTAAATAATTAAACATGTTAATGGACATCTTAAGGATGTAAATTTATAAAAATAATACAATATTAAACAACTTGTAATAGTTTAGGATTTGCTAATTCTATTGCTTGTTCTTAAGTTTATGAAAATAAAAAAATTGGATGTTATTTTAATAAAAATAAAGAATAATGTGATAGTTTATTAATAGAAATAGATGAATAAGCTAATTAATAGATAAAAGAATAAAATATCAATGATTTGAGAATCTTAAATACAATAAATTGTATTGATTAACAATTTGGATTAAATAGAATTGCATGTGCATCAATTACACTTGAAGGAAAAGCATGTTTATGGCGATAAGATTAATGTATATATATAGAAAAAGCATCTGATATTTAGAATATTCCTTGTTTACATCTTCAATTTGCTAATTCTTAGATTTGTGCTTAAGCCTCTTTTTAGTAAGAACCATGTAGGTATTTTTTATAAGAAAAAGGTTGTGTTAATTCTATTATTAATAATATGAAATGTGATTAACCTGGTTTAAATAAATTTAGTTGTTCATTAGCAACAGGTAGTTGTTATTATAATACAAATTAATCAAAATGTAAAGATTTTGATAAGGAAAATGAGGATTCTTTGATTACTTCAAATTTGCTTGACATATTGGAGTGCGAAAAGAATTACCCATCTTAATAGTTATGCACTTTAATTTAAACTAGAGGGTAATATTGTTAGTGGTCAATTAAATATTAATAGTGCATTAATATTGTTGTTAAATTCAATTCTTAATGTGAAAACTTTTAAGGTCTTGATATTTTAGTAAATTCAAATGTTTGTAGCAGAATTCT